TAGAAAGAATTCATTTGAATCAGTTCTAATGAGATGGATGAAACTGGAGCCCATTATACAGAGTGAAGTAAGCCAGAAAGATAAAGACCAATACAGTATACTAACACATATATATGGAATTTAGAAAGATGGTAACGATAACCCTATATGCAAAACAGAAAAAGAGACACATGTACAGAACAGAATTTTGGACTCTATGGGAGAAGGTGAGGGTGGGATGTTTAGAGAGAACAGCATCAAAACATGTATATTATCTAGGGTGAAACAGATCACCAGCCCAGGCTGGATGCATGAGACAAGTGCTCGGGCCTGGTGCACTGGGAAGACCCAGAGGAATCGGGTGGAGAGGGAGGTGGGAGGGGGGATTGGGATAGGGAGGTGGGAGGGGGCATTGGGATGGGGAATACATGTAAATCCACAGCTGATTCATGTCAGTGTATGACAAAAACCACTACAATATTGTAAAGTAATTAGCCTCCAACTAATAAAAATAAATGAAAAAATAAATAAAGTGAGGTTGAGTCAGAGTAAGACAAATAACAGTTTGATGCTAGAAAGGAAAGGAAAGGAAGATGCTACGGGCATTCAGATAAAAAGGTCCAACTCCAAGCTGACCCAAGCAGACGGAAATCTTGATGTAACAACTAGATGACCTATTAGAGGGATCAGGGTCAGGGCACCATCCCAAATGCCTGAGGACAAAATAAGGCTAAGCAGAAGTTTTTGAGTGATGTCAGAGCCAGCAGAGACTCTTCAGATCACCTTACCTCTTTGCTTGATAATGAGGAAACTGAGAGCCAGGGAAGGGAAAAAACTAGGTCACCCAAGGTCGGCAGCCTAGATGCCTAGATAATGGCTAAGCCAGGACTGAAACCCAGATTTCTGGCTCTCAGGTCAATGTGTTTTCTATACCACCACCCACCCTCACAAGGCCCTGTCACAACAAAGCCATAAAATAGACAGATTTCATTCCCCTGATGCATGTAACAGTACCCACGCAATGCCAAAAGTGATCCCAAAGGAAATTTCTTAGCTGGGAGTCCTACAGAGAACCAGAATGGGACTTGGAAAAGAACTAAATTCCTTCTTGGGTATTTCAGCCAATGGGAATGGAGCCCAGAAATCACTGATGTTTTCTGTTTGGGGAGCTTTTTTTAATAACTATCTTTGAAGATTGAAGAGTGCTACCATGCTGCTGGAAAAATGAAGTCATTGCTTTGAGAGACATATGAGGAAAAGAAAAGAAGTGATGCTACATATATTAAAATAAACCAGTTCTACCTGTTGGGCTGGGAAATTAACCCTTGTCTTCCTAAATTATTTATCAACATAACCAAAATCACCAAGAGAAAGAGCCCTTGAAGACTCAAAGGGGAGGCTGCCAATTGAAAAGGAAAGGAGAAGAAAGAGAAGGATGACTGTTCAGTCTCATCAGAAAGAAGAGAATGAATATGGGCTTTGAATCTGGAATGTCATAGATAATGTATTATTTATTCCTTATAATAGACCTCCATGGCAAATCTATTATTCCCATTTTGATGAGGAGGAAAGTGGGGCTCAAGGAGCTTAACTAATTGGCCCAAGGCCATGTCAAGTACGAAGGTGAGAGTTGGACCATAAAGAAGGCTAAGCACTGAAGAATTGATACCTTCTAACTGTGGTGCTGAAGAAAACTCTTAAGAGTCCCTTGGACAACAAAGGGATCAAATCAGTAAATCTTAAAGGAAATCGACCCTGAATATTCATTGGAAAGACTGATGCTGAAGCTGAAGCTCCAATACTTTGGCCACCTGATACAAAGAGCCGACTCACTGGAAAAGACCCTGATTCAGGAGGAGAAGGGGGCAACAGAAGATGAGACGGTTGGATGGCATCATCGACTCAATGACATGAGTTTGAGCAAACTCCAGGAGATAGTGAAGGACAGGGAAGTCTGGCGTGCTGCAGTCCGTGGTGTCAGACAAGACTTTGCAACTGAACAACAACAATACAGCTAGTAAGTAGCAGAACCAGGACTTAAGTGTTTCTTCCTCAGATTTCATGATCTTGCCTTACTCCACACTATAACTTTAGTGCTTTCTCTAGGCTTCAGTTTCTTCTCCATAAAATAAGGGCACTTAATCAAGATACCTCTAATGTGTCTTATAGCTCTGATGGCCTATGGACTTACTAATGTTAGAAGTTGTCCTTAGTCGGTGATCTTCTGGAGCCCCCTCAAGAGCTGCAGGACTCTTGAGCCCCAAGAAGAGTGAGCTGATCCCCTGGCCTGCTGAGTTTGAAGGAAGTGATCAAGGCAACACTTCTTGCTGACCCTAACCAAGGATTGCAGCCTCTCCAACCCCAGTTCAGTGCCTACAGTTCTCTTCCTCACTTGAACATCAAGACAAATGCACAAACCTCCACTGGGAGAGGCCTGGGATCCTGAAACATCCCTGAGGTGTTTATTTATAACACCAAGGGTACATCTAACAAGTTCATCATGTGGCATGTGACCATGTGTGTAAAGAAAGAACTGTCCCTGAGAAGTCTTTGCTAAGACAAGGGCTAAGCTGTGAGCAAGCCTAGCAAGTAGAAGGGACAATAAGGGAGACAGAGGAGGCATTCATAGATTGTACACATCTTCCTACAGAGCAGTAAGAAGCCTAATGCTTTAGCAAAGAGTTCTGGACTGAAACCAGGTGAGAGTTGGACTCCTTGCTCTGCCACTACATGACAGTGGGGTCTGGGGTAACTTTGATCATGCTCTAGCATGGAGTATAGCTTAGACCAGTATTAAATAATTGCAACAAAGTTTGACAAGCATCTGGCAAGGGTGCCAGAGCTTAAAAAATGGAGACTCTCAGAGCAAGATAAAGCCATGGTCACAGGTGGACAGGCAGGAGCAGGGAGGTTTGAGGGAGGGTCAAGTCCCCAGCAGGGAGGGTTAGTGAGTAGGGAAACTGTGCCCAAATCCTAAAGAATCCAAGGGAGGTCATCAGGGAAGATCTCAGGGCTTATAATGATAAGTCTGGGTACAGAAGAAAACCTATTCCTCAGGTAGGCAGCATTACCCCAGGCAATTCAGGTGGGTCACCTGGGGTTCTGATTCTAATTCAGATGCTCAAGTGCCACCCAGAAAGTCTGATTCTATGGGTCTGAGGTAGTGACTGAGCACTGACATTTCTCTAAAAGCTCTCCAGGATTTCTAAACTACAGCCAAGGTTGAGAACATCTTCCGTAAGCAGAGATCTCTGAGAGACAGAGCCCGCCCTGAGTGGCCACTGCATCAGGCCTTGCCAGACAGAAGGGGCTCAGGTATGCTTCCTGGATAAAGGAAAGAATACAGTGTACGTGAAGCAGAGGAAGTCACCAGCCAGTTATTAAAATCAGAGCAAGGCCAAGAAAACGACTGATCTTATGCTGAGTCCTCTGAATGACTGGCCAAGGGCTGCCTGCATCCCTCCTGACTATGTACATGACTGGCCCTGACCTGGAAGCTGGAGCCAGATCAAGTTTATGTGAGGACCCCAGAAAGGGGAGAGAGGGGATCAGGGTGTCCAACAGCCCATTACAGATCAGGGACACTGGTGAATCTCAAGCACACATTGATGACTACGAAGCCTGATTGAAGAAATCTCATCTTTATTAAAGTACCCTGCCTATATATAAATAGCCCTGCTCCTTCCACCACTACAGATGGTGGTGACTTTCCCTTAATAAGGGGAGTGGTGAGGGAAGAAGGAGTCAGTTATTAACAAAAGTGAGGTGAATGAGGACCATCAGAAATGAAGGTGGCTTCCTGCTTCTTGCTTTCTGCCTCCCCCCATACCTTATTCTATACCCCTGCCGTCAGAAATCTTCTTTCCTCTCTCTCCAAACCATATTGCATCCCGTTTGAAAGCTATCAGTATTCTTGCACCTACCTATGCACTTCTCTATGGGCAAACCCTTTGCATCTTTAATGCTCCCTCTCTTATTAATGAACCCCCAACCCTGTAGTTCTGGGTGCACTGCTGATCTTTGATGAGAGGAACCAAGCCTGGCCAGTATGGGAAAGTCTCTCAACAAACAGCCCAGGAAGCCAGGTCTCTTTTCTTGTATTCTGACTATCAGAACTGCTGAGAATCAGTCAGACTTTGTCCTTAAACTTTGAAGACTCTTCACTATAATGGAGAGACACTGATTTGTTTCCTAGGAATTTTGTGCTTTACTTCTAACACTCTACCTTCTAAACCTCTCCTAAATTCTCTGATGGTTCATATGCAGTGGGTGGGAAATCAAGCGCTATGGGGCTCCACCCCCAACCACCATGTCCTCCCTGAATTGGAGGGAAGCTGGAAACTGGGAGTGTGACCCTGATGTACCCAGGAAAAAGGGGGCAGCCTGGTGCCCCCACCTCTCTCTCTCTTTGAGAGGAACCTCTGCTGTGTGTGTGGAGACAGAGCTCTGGAAGAGACTCATACACTAGGCCGAGGCTCATTTAAGGCCACAGCTCCCAATGTGGGTGATAATGAGGGGTGGGGGTAGGGTGAACCAGAAGGCAAGAGTGATCTCATCACTGTGGAACGGCCCTTTAAGATCACCTAGTCCTGTAACTTTCAAACTTTTTAAAATCAGTTGGACCTTTTTCCATCCAAAACTCTTAAATAAAACTCCATCAAAAATGGAGCTGCTCTGATTAAAGCCAGAGGAGGAGGTAGGAGTTGGGGATGGGAGGTAGGACCAGGGTGGGAAAGCCACTCCCTCAGTCTCCCTGCCAAATGCAAAAGTCCCTAAGGCACTATGCAGAGCACTGGGGCCCTGGGTCTCACTTTGAAAAGCCAATGATTTAACCCAAACCCTTAACTTTATAGATTTTAAAGTTGGGAGATTTGTGCAGGGTCCCTGTGGAATGAGTGGTGGCACCAGCGCTAGAACTTAACCCCACTCCCAACCCAGGTCTCTCTTCACCCCCTCCCACCAGCTGGCTGGCCCCTCGGGCCTTGGGCCCCCAGGGTCTCCCTGGGCCCAGCAAGGGAATCTTAGACGGAGCTGCGGAAGGAGAACTGCAGGTAGATGATCAGCAGGAGGACCGTGGCCCAAAACAAGCACCAGGGGATGGAGAAGAAATTGCAGCCAGAACCCTCCTCGGCCTGTGGCTTGGTGGGGCTGGGCGCCCGAGAGAAGGTGTAGGTGGTCGCCTCCTCCTCCAGCAGCTTCTCGCTGGGCTTCCAGTGCACGATGCCCTCCTGGCAGGCCTCGCAGAACTCGCCGCGGTGCCGCCGGGTGTCTTGGCGGCTGGCCATGTGGATGCGGTACTGGCCGCCGCGCTCGCCGTAGCACTGCTCGCGCAGGCTGGTGATGAGGTTGTCCACCAGGCACTCGATGTTCTCCTCCAGCATGCTCGACTCGTCCAGCCGCGCCGTGCCACACTCGTAGCACAGCTGCTTGAAGACGCGCATGCGCACCGAGCCCGCCCGCTGGGCGCGGTCCAGGTACATGTGGAAGAGGATGACCAAGTGGGGCGACTGCCAGGTGTGCCAGCACCAGGAGCAGTGGAACCTGCGGGGACGAGGAGAGGCGAGAGGAGAGGACAGAGTGGAGACGGTGGAAACAGACTGCCCGAAGGAGGGATGGGGCAGGAGGCAGAGCCGGGAGGTGGAGGCGGTGTGTTTACGGCTCCCTGAATTCATCAGCTTTCCCCAGGTGTGTGCTCTGCTAGGACCAGAGCCCGCGCCTCCAGATGCACTTGACATCCAGCAGTGCTCAGCCATCGCGGGACCCTTCTCTATGCCCTGCAGAAGCCTCAGTGACCTCCATCTCTATGCCCAAGGGCCTTGCCTCTGGGATATTGGCTCTGGGCAGCTTTCCTCACATGTAAAATGTGCACGTTGTACGAAAGAGTTCTTCCTGCTCAGATATCCTTTGAGTCTGATAGCAGGGATGGCCCACATCACCTAGAAAATGCAAAATCCATCCACACGCTCTTACCTGTCAACAATGACTGTGAACAGGCCAGATCCAAATCAGGAGCAAATGACACCATTATCGCCTCTTAGCCTCTGGGCCAGTGCCAAGATTACTGTGTCTGAAGTCCTGGATGTGGAGGCAATCTACACCCAGAGTGGGCTAACTGGAGCCAGCTGGGGCTCTCAGGCCATCAGCTGGGTCCAGAGGAGACACCTGCCCTTCCCACCCAGCCCCACAAGCCTTCCAGGCCCTTGAGCAGCTCCTGGGCCCTGTCAACAAGTGTCCAGTCCTTTTGCATCTGTCCTGTCAGCTGGGTAAGGAGTTCCACATTTTCATTTTTTATCTCTTTTCTTTGACTCACATCCTTTGGGGACTGTTTCCCCTCTCCAAAACCAAACTACAAAACTTGGAATGGAAAATGTCAGAACTAGCGGGACCTTAGGAGTCACCTAGTTAGCCCTTTGTTTTACTCTGAAGCCCAGAGAGTAAGAAAGCGGAACACACAGTGAGTTAGAGGCAGAGCTGGTATCCAACACATAACAGATGCACAGTAGATGTTTCTTGAATTAAATTCAGTGACTTGAACCAGGGAAAGAAGGAAGGCCTTGCTTCTGACCTCCAGGCTGCACCACTCAGCATCCAAACCTTGTGTCCCAGAGGTAAGTCTTTACATAATCCACCCACGGACAAGAATGCTGGAAAGTCATCTTGGACATTATTGTAAGTACGAATCACCTAGGAATCTTGCTGAAATGCAGGTTCTGATTCAGTAGGTCTAGAATGGGACCCAAGATTCTGCATCTTTAACAAGTTCCAGGTGATGCCGATACTACTGTTCCCTGAGGAACAAGGATCTATTCTAACCCTTTCTTCCACCAAGTGGGAAAGAGGTCGAAGAAGGAAACTGGATTGTTCAAAGGCCATGAAGAGTAGAGCTAGTTTCCAACATACTTCATGTGTTCAGTATTTTATATTAAGTCAAGCTGAATTAAATAGACTGAAACTGAATTGTTCCAGGACCAGAAAACAGATCTCTTGACCCACAAGCCCCTCCCCCTTCTCTTGGCTTTCAACCTTTTTAAGAGGTTGAAAGTGAAAGTCACTCAGTCATGTCCTCCAACTCTTTGTGACCCCCTGGACTATATAGTCCATGGAATTCTCTAGGCCAGAATATTGGAGTGGGTAGCCTTTCCTTTTTCCAGGAGATCTTACCAACCCAAGATCAAACCCAGGTCTCCTGCATGGCAGGCAGAGTCTCTACCAGCTGAGCCACAAGGGAAACCCAAGAATACTGGGGTGGGTGGCCTATCCCTTCTCCAGTGGATCTTCCCAACCCAGGAATCGAACCGGAGTCTCCTGCATTGCAGGTGGATTCTTTAATACTGAGCTATCAGAGAGGTAATTAACATATAAAAATAGACAAAGTATCAGCACTTAGAGCTATGACTCAGAGAGGGAAAGCTACCAGGTGCTGAGCGGAAGAACTGGGATCAAACTCACACCTCCCAACTCCCAATTAGGTCCTCTTCCTCTGCCTCCCAGTCTGCAGTGGCCTCACAGCAAAGCCGACCCTTAGCACACAGGTTCTCCACGTTTCTGTCTCTTCTGGAAAGGCTACTCACCTGCCCGAAGCATGCACCTCCAGGTACTGCTTCCAGCCTGGAGCCAGCACGTTGTGCTTGAGGTTGGGATCAATGATGAGGTCCCAGCTGTCCGCTGGCTTTGCCTCCTCCATCTTCTCGTAGAAGATTTTCTTCCATTCACCTGTGGTCACACTTTTACACATGGTCTCGTCAGGGGCGAGGGAGGGCAAGCTCCACTTGAGTGAGAACACGGGGAGTGAGGGCAGGTGCAGGGCAGGGCAGCGCAGTCTCCACGGTCTAAAAATCCTCATCAGTAGGACCGGGAGGAAGCAGGACCCAGCTCCCTCCTTTGTCCGCAGTGGAACCTGTTTCCACGGCAACCAGGCAGGGAGCCAAGAGACAGAGGTTGGGAAGGAGGGAGTCTCTGAAGGGGCGTTTCAGGGCCCCAAACTGAGGCTGCGGAGGCAGAGTTTGTGAATCTAAGCGACCTTAGACAGTGTGGGGGGCCTGAAAGGAGCGTGAGCTTCAGACCATCTCACTCTGGTCTGCCAAGGGCATGCAGAGGCGAGGACCTGGGAACTGGCTCAGCTTTGCCTTGCTGCCCCTGGAGGTATCATCAGCATCTGGCTGCTGTGGTAACCATGATGCCTTTGGGAGCCAAAGAGAAATAAGGGATGGGAAGATGCAGACCTGTTAATAGATGCAGCAATGATAATAAACCCTCTCTCTGCACCCTCACCTGTCTTGCAACCAGCACTTTGCCATTTACAAAAACAATTGGAGGTCTCTTGACCCACAACTGTTATTGCCACTATACAGATCAGGAGACTGGGACTCACCTAGCATATAAATGGCAGAGCTCCTGGCCAAATCCAAGTTATTAAGCCTGTACCAGTCCATCAATTCGTTTGTCAAACATAGCCACGTGCCAGGCTCTGTGTATACCAGACAGTTATAACTGGGTATGTCCTCAGTAACCAGAATGCAGCAGGATCTGTGCTGTGACAGCCATGTACAAGAGCAGCCACCTGTGCACAAAGGTGGGACCATTGCATCAGCCTGGCAGAAGCAGAAAAGATAATCTTCAACTTGATTATAGAATAGGAACATAACACCCACGGGGAAAACAACCTTTACTATTGGTGCCTCTTTGGCTAATCTTTAATACATTTTCCTTTATAAAAGTCATACAGGATTTTTATAGAAAAATTGGAAAATATAGATCAAACAAGGCGAAGATAAGATTCTTCCTAATACCCATACTCAAGATAGTCACTGTTAATATTATGATATGCAAACCCTGCCTGTTATTTTTCTGTACATGTACATGTGTATATATATATGTGTGTGTGTGTGTGCGTGTGTATGCATGTATGTGTGTATATATACACACATTAATATTATTCTATCTTGGAGGCTGCCTATATGCTGTTATATGGTTGAGCATAATTTATTTAGGAAACCCTCTATTTGGGGGCATTAATTTTTTTCCAACACTTCACAGTTACACTCACTTCCTATTTGAATAAAGCTTATTGCTGAAGCTCATGGGCCTGCATTTCAGGCACGAGAGATGATGCTTCCTGCAGTTGGAAAACACACTTGTGGCTCTACTCCCTGTCGAAGCTTGATGTGGCTTGAACATGAGCAGGCTCTTTCAACAGTATAACTTGTAGACAGCCTACAGATTCTGAAGCTTAGGGATGAAAAAGAAGTGCCTCGATCTCCTATCTGATACTCAAGACTGTCTTCCAAGTGATTCTCCTGCCTTTGCATGAATGCTGGATGCTTTGGCATCCTTTATTTTAGCCTCAGTTTATTCAGATAGGCAGTGGGATAATAACAAAGCAGTGTCTCTGGTGATTAACAGCGGGAGGTCTGAAATTGCTTGCCTAGATGGTTTTTTTCTTTTTTGGAATGCTCTTATATCCTCTTGGGTATCCTAATATATTTATATATATCACTTCAAAATGTGTGTTGATGTTTTATGTGAATACATTTTTAACTTGCATAGTAACAGCAATCACTATGTAGCACTTAAGTGAGGTATCAGGCATTTTCCTAAGTGCTGTATATGTATTAATTTATTTCATCTTAATAATAATCTCTATACAGAGGTAATATCAGCAGCTTCACCATTCCTGTGATGCCACAGTCATTTGATGAGAGGCACCCAGGTTCAGTGGAGAGAACACTGAACTGGAAGGTGGAGATATCAACATATATCCTCAGCCCTTTTACTGGCTGACTTTGTGACCACGGTCAAGTCACTTCTCTTAGCCTCAGTTTGTTCATCTGTTCAATGAAGAACTAGAGTAGAGGGCAAGGCTAAGGTCCCCTCTGACTGTAGCCACATATGAGTTCAAGGAGCTTTATACTTAGAAACCTGAATCCTTGGAGGGCAAGAGGTAGGATGGAGGCCATTGGATGGAAGAAGGATACTTCTCATGAGGCATTGCAGGCAGTGCCTGGTGCCAGGGTCTGTCTCTTTAGGGGCTGCTACATAGCTAAAGATCTCTGGGGAGGTGTCAATCCACTAGCTTTGTACAGGACATAATAAGAAGGACAGAAATTAAATCAGAGCCACTGAACATTCATGCTGGAAAGGATTTTTAGGCTCATTAAACTTTTATCTTTCAAGTCAATGTTCTTGCCTCTGAGTTAAGACAGTTGATACCCAGAGAAGTACATAAACTGACTAGCCTCAGAAGCGTGATGGGAGCTGTCTTACATTGCAGCCACAGGCCAAGGAGAGAGTGGAAACTGAGGATATTTCCAGGAAGTATGTGAAGCTGAGAGAAGCTTCTGTGAACTCATTGTGAAACCAAAGTGTATTACCTGACACTAGGAACAAATTCTCTAGAAGTATTTTGCAGTTGTTGCTACCATAAACATTATGATGAAAGACAAGAACAGAGAAGGTAAGAATCACCAGAGTTGTGTGTGTGTGTGTGTGTGTGTGTGTGTCCACATGTGTGTGTGTAACCAGCTGATGCAATTCCCATTGGCACAAATTAAGTTTAATTTAGAACCTGAGCTTACTATCGCAGAGATCTATGTAATACATCCTTCTGTATAGGAGAATATTTTCTCTAATATAATAATATTTCTATCAAGGCAAATAACCCTATGGTATTTCAACTTACTCTCTATCAAATGAACTCTGATGCCATGAAATCCACAATTTAGAGATTGCAGATCTTTTAGCAATCAGGATTCTTGGACTGTAATCAATACAAATTGATAAGAGGCCAGAGGAAAAATTCAGGCAAGGCTTTGCTGGGACTCGTGCTGCAGCAGGAAGGGGTGTAAACAAGGAACACATTCTCTTGCTCATCTCTGAAGGGAGCAGCAAGCTAGTTCCTTATATGGGCTGAGGGTAGGGATGGGTCCAGGGGTGGTGCCAGAGGGGTAGCTTAGGTGGTTTGACCCTTGTACTGAGGGCAAGGGGCATGCACAGTTCCTTGCTCTTGCTTTGGACCCGTCTGAAGTGGCAGTGGGCTTTTGGTCTTTTCGTATACTGATGTTCATAATTTGCCACAACTGCACATCCCTGCAGTTGCTTTTAGCCCCTTATAGTTTCTTTGTATTTTTTTTTTTTTTTTTTTTTTGCTTGAGAGGATGTTTGCCCAGATGCAAGCACTGCAGCAAAGGGACCCTTGTCCCAGCCTGTCTCAAATATAGATGTCTTTAAAGCCAGTGGCCTCACCTTGACCAATTTCTTAAAGTTTGTGATCACAATTTAAATCCATTAAATGGTTTAAAGCTAAATCCCCAACTAGAAAATAGAGTGTGGTGGGTGGGAGCAGAGAAAAAAGGAAGAAAACTATGTCTCTAATTTGTTATTTGGCTCAATAAGAAATATTTCCTGAAGTTTATTATTCTATTATTGCTTATCAAAATGTTATAAAAATAAACATCCTCACTCTGAAAATAATACACTAATGCCAAGTGATTCTCAACCATGAACAATTCCATATCCCTAAAAGGCATTTGGGAAGGACGGGGATATGTTTGCTGGTTGGATCAATGACTAGACGTTTCTGTTGGCACACAGTGCCCGGAGACCAAGGATCTAAATATAACTGACAGTTCCACAACAAAGAATTGTCCTTCCTAAAATGACCTACCTTTCCTAAATCCAAATAGTAAGCCCCCCCCCCCCATGATCTGTTGATTTGCTGGTATAAAAAGCCCAGGTGGTAATCTCAACCTCCAACCTAATTAAACCATTTTTTTGTTCCTTGATGGAAACATTCCTCCCTTGGAAACCAAGATCTCTGAACCAGCAGAGTCCAAAGTTGGGGCGGGGGGATAGGAAGCAAAGAGTAAATGAAAAACAAACAAAAAAACTCTAACTAAAATACTAACTAATAACTAACTAAAATCTCAAAAATGACAGAATGATCTCTGTTCATTTCCAAGGCAAACCATCCAATATCATGGTAATCCAAGTCTATGCCCTCAGCAGTAATGCAGAAAAAGCTGAAGTTGAATGGTTTCATGAAGACCTACAAGACCTTCTAGAACTAACACACAAAAAAGATGTCCTTTTCATTATAGGGGACTGGAATGCAAAAGTAGGAAATCAAGAAACACCTGGAGTAACAGGCAAATTTGGCCTTGGAGTACAGAATGAAATAGGGCAAAGGCTAATAGAGTTTTGCCAAGAGAACGTACTGATCATAGTAAACACCCTCTTTCAACAACACAAGAGAAGACTCTACACATGGACATCACCAGATGGTCAACACCAAAATCAGACTGATTATATTCTTTGCAGCCAAAGATAGAGAAGCTCTATACAGTCAGCAAAAACAAGACCAGGAGCTGACTGTGGCTCAGATCATGAACTCCTTATTGCCAAATTCAGACTTAAATTGAAGAAAGTAGGGAAAACCACTAGACCACTCAGGTATGACCTAAATCAAATCCCTTACGATCCTACAGTGGAAGTGAAAAATAGATTCAAGGGATTAGATCTGATAGACAGAGTGCCTAATGAACTATGAACAGAGGTTCATGACATTGTACAGGAGCCAGGGATCAACACCATCCCCAAGAAAAAGAAATGCAAAAAAGCAAAATGGCTGTCAGAGGAGACCTTACAAATAAATAGCTGTGAAAAGAAGAGAAGTGAAAAGCAAAAGAGAAAAGGAAAGATATATCCATTTGAATGTAGGGTTCCAAGGAATAACAAGGAGAGATAAGAAAGCCTTCATCAATGATCAGTGCAAAAAAATAGAGGAAAACAATAGAATGGGAAAGACTAGAGATTTCTTCAAGAAAATTAGAGATACCAAGGGAACAT